TTAGGCAGAAGGATCTAAACTTTAATTCAAGCGTATATTTATTGGTTGTTAATATGTATATATAACTGGTCACAATGAATTGGTAAAGGGAGCTAAAATTATTGTTCTTTAGAAATTTATACGCCAGTAGTGGGTATTAAAGCCAATATATTTCCATATCGATTTCCCTTAATATAGTAAACACATATCCGTAGAAATAAAATATAGATCTTTGGTGAATCATTCTCCTTTTTATCATTATACAAATAATAGGTGTCAAAATCAAAATGGTACTACATTGATGTCCTTTGAAATAGTTAACACATGCCTATGGAACATCGATAATAATGTATGTCGAATAAGATCTTACAATTTAATTTTTTGAATTAGGCTGACTTCTAATATAAGTAACAGAGTCCATCTATTTTTAAGAAATATTTAATATTCTAAAAGGATCAGAATTTTTGTTCGATTATTTTGATTTGGAACTTCATTATATTGATCACCAATTTCATTAAGTTTTATCTACATATATCGAGAATAATTCATATTACTAATTTTAAAAACATTAGGAAACATTTTTTTATAGAAATATTTAAGTAAATTTAAAAAAGGATTTTAATTAGACTATTTGAGCGATTTGGACTTACAATGAAGCAAAGTATAATGATTTGAATAGGTTTTATGCAGTGCGCCAACATAAACGGCACTTTACAATTCACAATACAATACAATTAGATGTGCCCAGAATAAAAAAGCTTTAGAGTGATATTTATGGTACTTGCAGACCTATGTTTTTGTAGAAAGGAATTTAGTCAACAAAAAAGAAAGAAACAAATTATCGCTTTAAAAACTACCATAAGGAAAATTTTTATTTTAAAGAAAACTATGAATTCTTCAAGACCCGAGGACAGGAACGAATCACTTCGCAACAATTTACCCCAAGTCTACAGAAGATCCAGAAGTCTCTAATTTAATTAGTGATGGGATCAATAATTTATATCTAAGAACATTTTTTTGAGCCAATATCAAAGTTAAGCAAACATATAAAATCGTTAATATATATCTCAAGATCATTTGCTAGTCGCAGTTCAAAAATGTGCAAGCACATTGAATGTGGCATCAAGAACTCAGGTTTTGGTAAGATAAATAACAAGTGTGCATATAGTATGTAACAAAAAGTCTCACTATCTTTCAGAGAGAAATAATATTCTTTCATATCAGAGACTTATACCTGGTTTATATATTTTCAAAGACTGAATTGGCTAACTAAAAAACTCGCTATTAACTTTAAGTGTTTTAAGTTATTAAGATATATTTTATTGTTTACGGAATAAATAAATATTATTTCATAAATAAATATTGAGTTCAAGAACGAACAAGCACTTGAATGCGGGATCAAGAAATCAAGAACAAGATCAAAAACATGCATACATGTTAGAATGTGACAAAAATATTCATCATCCTTCGCATAATAGAATGTGATTCTTTCAACTCAGAGAGTTCTGCCTTTACATACCTATTTTTAAATGAGTGACTAGATAAATTCTCAGTTGACCCGCTAAGGAGCTGGCTATTAATTGCAGATCACTCCTGCTTTGTAAGCAAAAAATTCCTGCTATTATGTACTAATGGTAAGTATCATTATGCTTTATCAAGTACATATAATTGAGAGAAGAAGAGTATGAAATGAATCAGTACTCTTTCTTTTTTTTTTTACATCTCATATACCTGAATTTTTGTTAGAGTGATTAAGCAATTTATTGGTAAAAACTTAAAGGTGAATAAATAATCACTAAGTTATATATAAATTTTATTTAAATTGAATTATTTGTAACTGAAAACTAATTTCAATTATATCACAGGTATATTCCTCAGAATTCTTTAAAACCTAATGTATTTTTGTAAATTTTTTGTACGCTATATATTTTAATAGAAATAGTTTTCATATTAGCTTATTTTAAATCAACATAGGTAAGTTCACCAAAAAGTGGAGCATAAATTCGTAGTTCATGACTGCACTGTCAAGCACTCTTTAATGAAATCTGAGATATATTTTACTTATAAGAGGAATAGCGACGTGATTCATAAACCCTTAAGAAGCTTTTGCCATAAGAAATCAGTGCAAAGAGATCTTTTTGAAAGAGATCCATTAACTGGTATTCATTATCTGATTCAGAATAGGCTATAATTTGTTAGTGTTTTTGGCTCAACAATAAAATTTCTATATATGATTTTTATTATAAAAACAAAGAAGCTTTTGCCTTAAGAAATCAGTGCAAAAAGTATTCCAAAAATTATGACTCATACTACTGTATTTTGAAAGAGATCCATTAACTGGTATTTTTTATCTGATTCAGGATAGGCTATAATTTGTTAGTGCTTTTGGTTCAACAATAAAATTTCTATATATGATTTTTATTATAAAAACAAAGAAACTTTTTCTTTAAGAAATCAATACAAAAAAAATTCCAGAACTTTTGAATCATACTATTAAATAATAAAAGAGATCTATTACCTGGCATTTCTTGTCTGATTCAGAATAAGCTATTTGTTAGTGTTTTTGGCTCAACAATAAAATTTCAATGTATGATATATTTAGATTTTTATTATAAATACAAATAAATATTTCATAATGATTATAATGATTTAATACTATATCCTCAGCAAATTCTAACTGTATTTGTCAATTTGTTTATTTACGTCATATATGAGTAATGGTAGCTCATAATAATACACACTATAAGCGAGAGACATGTAGTCTGCATTTTATTTGGTAGGGAGAAAAATAGATAAATGTATTATGTTTATAAAAATGTTTAAAAGCATCAACTTCAATACTTTATATCGTATACTTGAGACGAATGTGGAATGTGGTAAAATGACAAATAATCTGTAATTGCGAGAAGTGGAAGAGTATCTCCTGTTCAGCCAACCAACTATCGTATCGTATAATTATAACAAACAAAGAAACAGACAACAGCGTTGCTATTATAAAAGGACGTGTGATGATGTGTAATTGTAAATATATAATTGCAAATGACTTAAAAACTTTTTTAATAACAAAGATTTATTTATTTATATCACTTTGAAATCAGATTTTCCAAACTTTTATTTGACTTTCGGATATTAAAACTAAAGCATATATGATCTGCTTAACAAAATTTTATAAATATTTCTAAAATATTTTAAAGATTTTTGTGATAATCAAATCTTGAATTCAGTGTTAAGTATCAATATTTCATTATAAATTCATAGTATGTTTTCACTATCGTACTTAACTCCACAAATATATAGTAATATGTACTATTTTTCTTACAAAATTCGTCTAAATAAATGTTAAAAAAGTTTGGTAAGTATGTGTAGACTTAGTATTATTTCCAATATGTACTTTAAGAATTAAAATTTTTTTTTTTTATAAATTGCTTCATTAAAATTGGTAGCTCTCATGATAATATAGGTACTCATATTATTCGAATTGAAAGAATTTAAAATTAAATTGCAATTATTTTCCAATATGTACTTTAAGAATTAAAATTTTTATTTAAAAATTGATTTCGATATAAACTGCTTCATTAAAATTACTATCTGTCATGATAATATAGGTACTCATATTATTCGAATTGAAAGAATTCAAAATTAAATTGCAATTATTTTCAAGAATGTCTTTAGCATTTAAATTGAAATAAACTCTTTGAATAATATTTTATTTTTAAAAATAAACCATAAGTATCTAATAATTCTAGAGCAGCAAATCTTATAGTGACTTATGCTGA